TGCTGCAGCTAAACCTAATCTAAACTTCTCAATCGAAAATATTCTCAAGGAAGAAAAACCTGCGAAGGTTTTACTTTCTTCCGAACGTGTTCCCAGCAAGGAAACTGAAGGAGTTCAAGAAGGAACACCTTTGCCTGTAGAGAGAACGGTAACCAGCGATCTTCCGTGGTTGGCGTACACGCGGTATTCTCCCCCAAAAATTCCAAGTAAGTTTTGAGAGCTCTGAATTCTCAATGGTAAGCACTTCTTTGTAAATTAAGACAGTTATATTACGGGAAGTGCCAATAACTACTGAAGAATTGTCTCATGTAAATTTAATAAGGGAAAGAAGATTTACAAAATATCATTAAGAAAGTAAAATACTAAGCTAAGTAGGGAACCCAATATGTGTGTATGGGCCTTACTGCAGCGGCCTCAGTATTCTTGTCGAGACATTCTTTAAGGCACGAGGGGCAAAGTGACTTAAAGACCGATGTTCTGTCATAGCTACGACAGTACGAGAAACTTAACTCACAATAGAACAAACGCTGCACAGACACAAAGTGGAAGGTAAAAAAAATTGAGAGATACGGAAAAAGCTTGGAAGTTAAGAAAATGTTTGCAATTTTGTTGCAGGGTCAAAAAATCGTAAGACTGTCAACAGACGAAAGGTAAGTGGTAGCCCAAGAGTTCCATTTTCAACAGAACAGCTCCTGCAGTTGGAGAAAAGCTACGAGGACACCCACTATGTTACCGCAGCTAAAGTATCACAGCTTTCTGCAATGCTGAAGCTTCCAGGAAACCGCATTAAGATTTGGTTTCAGAACCGCCGCGCAAGGGAAAAAAAGAAGTCCAAGAAGATGACCTGTGATGATGGTGGCCATCAAACGCTAAGTGACATATGTGTTGAGACAAAAGTCCGTGAAGAGCCTCACGAGGAAATCAACCAAAACATCTGCCCATCGCGTTTTACTTGTCCAAGTTATGAGAGAATACATCCCAGTTTCTCACCGAGGCGTGCACACGAGTTACAATGTAGCACTTGTTTAAACATAAATGGATGGCAGAGTATATCAAACTTGCCACAAACCCATCTATCAAGTTGCTTTGACTGTGGTCTGTACAAAGGATTTAGGTATCTCGTGTAATTTATTTTGTGTTATCTCGCCGATAATCCATCTGTACGTGTACGATCGTTAGAAAACATAATACTGGACGCAACTGACAGTTACTAAAGTATGATAGTATGGTTTAATTAATTTCTGTCTCCACTTCTGTCTATGTCCAGTTTCAAAACGGACACTTCATTCTTATATAACCATAATAGAGTCTTCCGCGTTCAGGAAGACATAACCGTTAACAGTATCGTATTGAACGTATCAGTTAAGAAACAAAACAGCCGAAAAGTGAAATACGCTGGTTTATGATTTTTAAAAAAGGGCCATACAGAGCATAAATAGCACAAAACCGTTGCAAGTTTTCCATTTGTCACGCGTGCGCAGTGACGAGGCCACATCATGGTCAGGAAGGAATATTTCTTGCAGCTTCGTTTTCCACCGTGCTGAACTCCCCTCGCGAAGCCCGGCATTTAATTATTCGACCTCAAAGATCGTGCCTTCAAAGGAAAAAAAAACAAAACAAAACAAAACAAAAAACAAGAACAACAGTCCAATCCTACGCAGCTGCTCCGACCTCCAGCAGTTAATTCTGTCTGCAAACTTAATCACTTTATTCCTAAACTTAAATGCAAAGTTAATGAAAAGCTTAAGTCTGTTCTTCTGCGGTTGCAGCGACCCTGATTTAGTTTGCATTTTGGGACGTGGCTATTCGTGTGTTCAATACCGCTGTCGACTCTATTCATACGAGTATAGATGCAAAGAGTGACAGCTTGTCTGTTAACCACTGAGAAGATTAAATTATTACACGCGCAGTTATTACCAACCAGATAATGAACGGTAAACAAATATCGCCAACGCGAAATTTTTAGAATACATTACGAGATCACTGACAATGTTATAAGCTAATACGAGTCTAGAAGAGAGTATTGAAGCACCGGAAATGTTTGATTGCTCATTTTATTGGAATAAGTATGTTGTGTGTGTATGTAGTATGTTTGCGATGATCATCGGTTTATCCTTCTCAGATAACTTCAAGATTCATTGTTGTGCAAATGCCGCTTCTGTAAGAAATGTTTCAGAACCGAGACCCAAACAGTCTCAGCAGAAGAGGCTCTTCTTTAAACACCGTGAGCGATGTCGAAAGACCTCTCATCTTTAATAGCGTCCTGTGCATTCAGTTGCATATAGTATGTATTCCAATACACACCCATACAATGGTGCTCTCACGCATCAAAAAAGTGGATTTATCCAAGCTATCTAAGAAAGCCAGACATATGGCGCTCTCTTAATCCGCTCTCAATCACTTGAATAAGAGACAACCTTAAGGAGGTATATTTCATAAAAGATGACTATAGTATTCAAATTATTGGTTCCAGATTCAATGTTTACTTTGAGGGCGTGGAATTTACGCGACCGAAATAGTTTTACTTACTCAATCTTTGTACAAGGCTTATACTGACTACACAGGAGCCGCACTGCTGAATATACCATGCACTGCACTGGATTAACCTCGGGAAACATGGCTGCATTCACCCACGTACCTGCAGCTATACATGTGCACTGAAAATTTTCTTTATGTGCAGACTCATAGTTTGAAAGATGAATTGTTATTCTTTAGCAGAAAACCATAAAGTGTTATTCACGAAACCTTTACAATTGTTTTAGTAATAAATTCTATAGGCTACTAATAATCGTCTGTGAGTATCAATAAATCTCTTTCCATGACAGCTCCGCAAATTAAAAAAAAAATGCTGTTTGCTCGATGTTTGCACTTCTGGTCATGCGTGAAGCTGGTTAAGGAACATTCCTTTTGCAGCATGTTTTAACCATCAGTCTTCAGATAGGCCTTAAATTCTAGTCTGCTAATTCCATTATATTTACAGGATCATTGTCGGTATGCAGTCTATTATTTATTTGTTGTCACTTTTCTATACTTCTATTTGACTCTGGAAAGTCACAGTTGAACGTTTCAAATAACGTTCTTCGATGCTCACTGTTTTTATCAAGTAAAGCTTTACTCTTTACTCGAACGTTTTATTACGTATCTTGTGTTGCACACCACATGCAGATGGGTTTTATTCACTTTACAAGCCCTTACTTCTCAAGGTTTCAAACTTCTTTTATAATAACACAAGAATCAACAAAGGAGTATTGTTCCCATCTAAATAAAGAAAGCCTAGCTGAAAGACGTCTGTAACAGTATTGAACTTTAAGGGACCCTCTCAGAGACCTTCTCAATGAATCCTTTGTTCATTATCTTATATATCTGAATGGATTCTGGGTTGTCAGTGAATCTTATCTGCCGTCTTGTTATCTCATATCAAACTATCTTTTCTTAATTTTATTTAATTCATCTTATGTGAATGAATTTTATCTTATCTTGTATCGTGCCTTATATTAACTCAATAATAAAAGAGAACAGGTACATGAAGTATCTGAAGTAAAGACAATAGCTGGAAAATGTTACTGTGTATTAGGGACTTTTAAGCACAGACACGCATGCTAAACCTATCATGCTTCGTGTTCAAATACTGCTGACACTCGGTCATAAAGGTTCCTCTGCACATGAGCCTTGGTGGATTTGGGACTGCCTCTCTTCTTTTCACACTCTTGTGTCCGCTGGAGGAGGACTGCAGAGGCCTAACTTCAGGCTCTAAACCTTAACTGAGAGAAAGCCTCGCGGCTTGCAAATGACCGATAGGAATGGAGAGCTTGTTGACGCCCTTAGCGCCACTTGGCGTCTAAACGACTGATGATGATACGAATACTTCCGTAACCAGGAATAACGTCAGTTTCCCTGGATTCAGTCGATGGTAGTCCATTATAGGTTATCACCAACATTTTTCTCAGGTTTTCTCCAACAACTCACCATGACCCATTTATAAACCAAGCAGAAGGGAGGCACTATAAGAGTGTCTTGCCCAAGAATATATCACAACATTCCCGGCCAGGGTTCGAACACAGAGCCCTCGATTCAGAGACGAACCCACTGACCACTTCACCTTCTAAGATATATCGGAGGTTGTGACAGGACAAAGTTTCTGGCATTATCTTAAATCAGAATATCCAAGTTCGTCCATCCTCTCTCAAAATAGCTGAGTATCCATAACGTTCGAGTTCCACTTTCTTTACGTTTGTCATAATCAGTGTTAAGAAGACACGTGAAAGTGATTTAATTGAACGTAAATGGCTGCCCTGACAACTATAAATTATTATTCTCTGGTATGTATCTTAATTAATAAAACGAAAACCAAAAAGGTTTAAATTATATCTACGACAATGTAATAACGTTTAAGTTTCACTTTGTGGTGGCCCTGACTTTTCGGCGCTAGCTGCTTGAGTTTTCTTTTCGCGCGCTCTCCTGTTCTGGAACCAAATCTTCACTCGGTGCTCAGTGACTCTCAGCGTGGATGATAAGTCACGCACCTCTGAGCCCGACAGGTACTGGGTCTGAATAAATTTGGCTTCCAGTGCAGCCAACTGTGAACTAGAGAAGGGTATTCTTGGATTTCTGTCTAATTTATGTCGTCGAGAACCTTTCCGAGGTTTGGATCCTGCAGACATGAAACGCGATATATCAGCTTCATTTTCAAAACGAAAAAAGGATAGATATAATTAAAAGACCACTCATATGTATCGTTTATCTCGGGGAGGGCACGTCGGAAAATTTGAATTAAACCCCGCTAGGAGACCAATCTAGGCGCGGGTAGAGCAAGACGTCGAGCATCCCCGAACTTTTCACATGGGAGTCCCTCCGGGAATTTATCGGGTAATCACGTGGGTACCTGGAAGAACACGAGAAGATCGACATAGAACCAAAGGCAAGTTGCTTTTAAGAGTTCTGTGGGTTTTGCTAACTTTTTAGCCTTTTGTTGTACTTGGTAATAAACCAGATATACATGGTCTGCTGCTTTACTGACGAAATCTACCTTTAGTCCATGATGTGGGAATGGAATAGCCGATGACTCTAGCCAAATAACTCGCACTCTTAAACAATAATAGCATTGCTCAAACAATAACAAAAAATAACACATTGTAACACACAATAAGTAGAAACACCGTTCAATGTTTTCTGTTGTGGTAAAAAGGACGAAAGCCAGTTTTCTTGATCCTCTCCTGTCCAGATGTAAGGCTTTATTAGAAAAAGAATCGTAGCTTGAACATAAACTAGATGGACTGTATCTTAGCAACTGCAGTTTCAAACAGTTTAATGCACCCTACTGCAAATCAAAGAAAACAACCTTCCATAAAAACGTTTTTTTCTTTATGTCAGATACAACAATCAGTTTAAATTTCTTCTTTTCCTAACGTGTACCAATAATCAAATCATCGCATGATGAACCACCTGAAACACGTGCTGTTACTCTCTGCAGCAAAAAGAGACTGTAACAAAACAAACGTTCTTATCTCATTGTTTTAGATGTAAAGGGAAGGGTAGACAGATGGAGCTATAACAATGTTGATTTGTCCAATACAGATCAAACGGCGGGCTGAAATACACAATTGACACCAGATTGACATGTTCTTTGTAAGAACAGTATAGAAATCAAGACGGTCGTAACTTAAAACGTAAACTGTTTGGTCTTAGGTGCAGTTCAAATGACATTTTCTTGGTCTGTCAAATACTTGAATTCGACGGAACATTCAGCACTTATTCAACGAAATAATTTTCAATGAAAACTACTGCTTTGAAACAACCAGGCGATAATAAAAAGTAACAATAGAGATTAAAGACTTAAAGTAGTTTGAAAAGGGTATTGTTTGGAGATAGGAAATCATTAACTTATTCTAAGAGTGCACAGAAAAAAAAATAACTTAATCATTTTAAAGACAAAAAGCCACTTCACTGGAAAAAAAATGACTTCAATAGATTTTAGGTGAACATGATTTTATATTCCTTGCAAATCCACAAATGAAAGCTAATAGAAACGGGTTTATAATGTGGGGCAAATTCAAACTTAAACTATCCCTTTAAGATAGAATTGTGCTAGCTATAATCGTGTGTTTGAATCTGGGTTATTACATGTAAAATATAAGCCGATTTTTATGTTGTTTCATTTATTTACGAAGAGATAAGAGCCCCGAGATAAGAGCCCCGTTTTTCAAACGGAATTCGATTTCTTTGAGATTATTTCGTTTGACAGAAGACGGAGAAAGCTAGATCATACACTGGGCATTACGCTCCATGCAATGATAAAGGATAGGATAACCAAAACGATGAAAATTTTCCCTTGAACAGCACAAAGCGCACTCTTTTTCTAAAGGAAGCATTTTGACAGCCGGGTATCATGACTGAATGATTCAACTGTTCTGGTAGAATAACGAACGTCCTCTGAAAAACTGTAAAAGATCTGAACAACACAGAGGGTACAAAAACCTTAATCTGCTCATGCGAACTATGAACCGCAAGGTTAAAAATGTTTACAATTTTTACAAGTTCCCTGCTGTTTTTCGCTCTAAAATTTATCTGCCTATTTGCGGTTTTTGGTGCAGACTTCGGACAGAGTCCATTGAGAACCCGAAAAGAGTTTTACCAAAGTACCAAGAATAACTGACAAAAGCAGTGGAAAAAATGTCTATACCTTCCTCAGTCTTACTTGAAAATCCCACGTAACAAAGATGCCGTTTGGAAAGGTTGAAACACCTACACGTGATTACGGGTCATTGTTCGGGAAGATTATCAGAAGTGAGAGAAACGCGACCAGTTTTGGTATCCACGTGTCTCATACAACCCAGTTTGCAACAGCGAGTAACTCAAAATTACTTCCAAAAGCTGCAGACATGTTAAGGACAAGGATATTTTCCTAGATTCATCTTAACAGCAATTTATTACTAAATAGCAACAACAATCATAAAATCTTTCCAACACGGTGATGCCATGCAGAGACGACGAAGACATCGGTGGAAGGCAAATGCAAACAACAAAAGGCATACAGCTAGACTAAAACTTAAAAAAACAAGATAATCTATACACGAGAAAGAAAACTCTTTTACTTACTTGGAATTTTTGGAGGGCAATACCGTGTGTAGGCGAGCCAGGGAAGACGTGTAAAGAGAGTCTCTACAGATGCCTTTTTAGACTTCTCTTTTCTGAAACTTTCATATTTCTGGGCGTGTACTTTCCTTTGCTGGTTTCGTGGACCAAATGTGCCTTCACTTAAGATATTTTCTATCGAGAACGACAAGTAGGGTTTGGACGATGTGGGCAGTTGATAAGCGTTGGCATCAGCAGAATCTCTGATCCTATCTGCCATGTCCTTCACCGTTGTTTTACGGGTAATCCCTTTCAGCTGGCAAAGTTGTGTTCCCGGCTGGTCCAAGAGAAGCTCTAGCCAATTCTGTAGTGACAAAGCCGTATAGAGTTTCGGGCTGTTTACCGATGCATTCTTCAGAGCTGGTTTTAATTCAGATTCTATCATGGAGATGTTGATCGCATCGATGACGTGCCCTGTCAAGTTTATACGTACTCGTGACAAATCCCTCATCTTAGCGAATAGTTCACTTGTCAACCGTTTGTGAATATCATTTTAATCCGGGATTAGAGTAATCAAAGCTTTTATAGTCTGTTTTAAAATTCATCGAAAACAATCTCGATCACATCCGCAAAGCAAGTTTGTACGATTCACCGAGTTATTTCCCTTCCCGAAATCAAATTATACCGCTCCAACCTTCACGGACATCATTTGATTTAGTTCCAGCTTGTTTGCCAATGGCGCGTCGGTATCAAGTCATATGATTTATTAACCGAGATAAGAGTATTTTGTATAGCACTCGAGCCTGTCAATAACTTAATTATCACCCCAAGAATATGAACGCAACTCATTGCAAATGTCGTCTTATTTTCACTTTCAAAAGAAAAATATCTTTGTTTAGGGATTAACCTGAGTGAATGAGGAAGAAAAAAAAAGTCCTGTTTCAGAGGGAAGTAACTACATGGAAACTAAAAGGGGAAGTTCTTCTCCAGAATACTTAAATTAAATGCGACCGATTCATAGGTTCTAAACGGAAATTACAAATATCCGAATACCCTCTCAAAAGGGAATTGCAGTTAAAAACAATGCCTTTCAGAAACCACCAATGACCCTCCAACACAATCGATTAAAGCGCAGTTCTTAAGCTTTAATTGAAAACAACAACTTCGAGATAATTAATTACTGTAATGACGGCGGAAAATGCTCTGCGAAAGCTTATTACTAAGGTAGGAAATTCGATTTTAGCTGTAAAAAGATAATAAATTCATTCCTTGGAGATGTGGTCAAACAAATCAAAATACGAACAGTAGCCTGCTCGAGCTAAATAAACAATGAGCGAAGTCTTAGGTTTGAATTGTGTGCCTTGCGAAGGGACGAATAATTAATTGGCTTGGAGTGACAACAAAGTTAAAGAGACACGTTGCCCGTGTGAACATTTTCGCCTAGTCTCCTGACAACAGCTTCAGTTCTTCTGGTATCCTTACACATGAAACTTTCAGAGCTGTCTAATTTGTTTGGGCCTTCGTTTGTGTGGAAACAAAAATAAAAAGCCATGTGTTGGATTCACATTACTAAGAATTGTAGCCACTGTTCAAACTCCTTAGTAACAAAACCTACGATTTAAGGGAAATCAATGGGGCCCTTTAAGTAATATTAACACAAAGAGACCTATCAGATGTTAGGGGAGAAATGTAATTTTTCTTCTAGGTGTATTGCATTCAATGGAGGGAAAATACAGACTAGAGACTGCTTCCACTAACAGTGTATCGACAGTTTCTGGCATCGACAAACAAAGCAACTGAGAATAATTGACGGCATTTGCTTTCTAGGGCCTACTGCAATTAATTTAATTAGTAGGGATTTTAATTTCCTTCAGTCAATATCGTGATGATCTGTGTTCAAGGTCTAGATATCGACACTTTCGAAAAATTAAGATCTAAAATACAGCTTATAAGCTGAGTAATCACAAAAGCTATTGAGCAGCATCTTAGTGTGCTACTATTAGTCAACCAATATTTTCCTAATGATGGCTTTAGCGAACTCTTGTTTTTGCAATTTTTAATCTGTCACATTAGTACTTAGGGTTTGCAATGAATAGGTTACACCCAGATGTTCATCAAATGAAACAGAAAATTGTCCATAAAATGATGATTTGCCAAGACGTTCAGGAAGGTCTTTTTAGTCATTTTTAGTCATTTCAAGGCGAAATATTCTGTGTATTTGACACAATTGGCAGCTCACTATGATTAGTGTAAGCCGCAAGCTTCACAATAAAAAGTAATCCCGCGCAAATTTGTGTTGTACAACTGTTGCGTTTTTATTGGTACTTGAGTGAATAAACAGGTTATTTCCGGTTTTTGTCTGGAAATACTTAAAGTGAGAATGTGCTTTGACGGACAAATTCCTTCATCTCTGCTGACTCCAAATGAGCAACGAATACGTAAAAGGTGAATCGTTAATCTGGATAATCCTAAACTGCGTCATGCGAATTTTTCAGAGTACATTAAGGCAAACCTTTGGTGCAAAGTTCACAATCTTCGCCTGTAGCCCATCGCCAAATCTTCTCCAAACAGAAACAAAACTTGATGAAATGAACGTCTTAGCGTTGATTAGCTTTCGCGATGGATTCCGTAATGCTATTTACCGCAGAACCGACCGCATTAAGAAATAGAAAACTACAAATTGAATAGCAAATAGTACCAAGTTTATGAAGGATGGCTTATTGTTGGGTGGTTAGCGGTGTGCGGTCAGTAAAAGGAATATGCATTAGGTCGCCGGTGCCAAAGTTATGAAAACAACGAGCAAGATTCCCTGTTCACACATTGATCAGCACCTGAGCTACAAAGCGATTATTGAATGTTTTCCGGAATCAGTTATTAGGTAATTTAAGCGATTAAAGCCGCCCTTTTGTATGCTTTCCAGATAAGCAAAATATTTATTACTACGGCGAAAAAGGCAACTGTGTAGTAACAAGTTTCCCGGCCAAGTTTTGAACCGCATCGCTTTCAGTTGCTTTGGTGGTGACAGTGAAGAAACAGAGCTGGTGCTACATGTTAGCCGAGTTAGGTTTCTAAAGTGAATCGTCGTCCAGTCGAAGGAATCCGTAGAACGTTATACTCGGAAAGAAAAGCTCCACACCGGTAATCACAAACTCATAGGTAACAATGATGGTTAAATTTGAGAGAAAAAGATGTGGGTAGAAGGTTTTATCAAAGATAACATAGTCTAAAGAGTTATACCGCGAGAGTGGAAAGTCACTGCTAATAAGGATTCATCAACACATTTTATGAAATTCATAACAGTTTGTAATTGGCTTTTGACCATAATGCTAACCAAGCAAAATTCTCGATTATTCGTCCTATTAGAATTCAGAACAACGTTAATTAAGAAAAGGACCTTAATGCATGTTAAGGGGTGTATGATAAAACAGACAGAAATTTAAACGGAAAGGTTTCCTAAGCATAAACGACAGAGTAGTTTTTACTTCGGTATGTAAAGGACATTTAATTTAAGAATTCAAAACTACGCTTAATTTATCAAGGCATTTTATAAGAGCAAAATTCTGGAGTATTTGTCCTATTAGAATTCAATACAACGTTAATTAAGAAAAGAACCTTGAAGCATGTTAAAGGGTATATGATAAAACAGAAAGAGAGTGAAATGCACAGGTTTTTCTAAGCATAAATGACAGAAAGTAGTTTTTACTTTGGTATGTAAAAAATATTTAATCTAATATTTCGAAACTACGCTTGATCAAGGCATTTCTTAATAGTGTGGCGAAAGAAACAAAAACGTCAAAGAAGTACCGCACAGCACTTGAACAAACAGTCTTATCCCTTCCATTAGAACTGTAATTATTGCCATTTATCAAAAGTTTATCACAGCAATAATACATCATTAGTAGTGGCTAACTGCCAAATTGAAATTCTTCGTTATCTTGTCGTGTGATAAATGGCTCTGCAAGTAATCTATTGCCCTCAAACGCCGACGGTATTTCCCTTCACGTGACGGAGCCTGCCTTTGTTAACGCTCGTTATACTATGTGCAGGTTCTTTAGGTGGAGACCAAGCAATAATGAAAAAGCACTTATGCTATTTTCTATTGTTCTCTCCTCACGGACTGAGTGCCCTATCGACATCAAGATTACCATAACAAAAGATATTTTAAACTAAAATGCATCTTCTGTGTAGCAAGTACACTTTTTTGTACTAAACTGATTACTTTACTTTGCCTTAAGTATGAATCAAACACACAACTTCAGTCAAGGTAGAAAGCGTGGATTACTGACAAATTTATTTCAGGCAACAACGTGAAAAAGAAACACTTTACACACAGAATCTAAGCATTAATGAGGCGCTAGCTTTTGAAGGAATGGATGAAACCCAAGTGTGTGACCATTCAAACAAGCGCTGACGCTCGATACTCTCATCTGGCGGTGTTTATTATTCAATGTTGTGCTAAACAAAATTTGAAATTTTTTACACTTTTGAACTTGGCCATTCTCGAATGTAAAGTGTCAAGTTCTTGAATGGTATGGTGCAGTGGGAGGTTTAAGTCAGTGAAAAGATCCTAAGCTGCAGTTGACCCCCTGCATTTACTAAATGAATGAGGATTTGAGCTGTCAGCTACCTTTCACTCAAGACATACTCATGCGAACATATGGCATCACAAAAAAATTAAAAATATACGGCGGACGTCAAACGGACCTAAAGCCTAAACCATTCACCCCTTGGATTGGAAGTTTACTTTAGGTTTATGCAGACAAAGCAAGCTTTTTTCACGTCATAATTTAACATGATTGTTTTGACAGTACAGGCAGACAGACAGAAACGCCTATTTTTCTTTTAGTAAGGAGACACACGGTGTTACCTCCTCGGAGTAAAGCAACGACAATAACAAAAGAACATGCAAAGTTTAACAATGCAATTTACAGACCACACACATGAAGCCGTCTGTCAATTTTGTAGTTTTCTTAAGTTAACAGTGTCAATGATTCAGGTATTGGCGCCGAGACATCATAGCTGAATCGGCGCATTCTCTTAACTAGCGATTTCCAAACATCTTTTCGATAATCACATTTGCTGCAACAACCACAAAAATTAAGATACAATCAACCAGTAGGGTGGTGCTCTGACAAAGTAATGAACCACTGTACATGTATAAAAACTCAAGTCTAGGTAAAACCGATTCATATTATAACTTAAAAAGGATCCCGTTTCTTCTCTTTCAACCACAATATAATCCTGTTGAAATAGACATAATAAACTATAGGTTGGATTAACAACTGGTGTTTCAATGTTTGTCAGTTATGATTCTGCTTTGATAAAAAAAAAAAAACCTCAAAACATTGAAGGCTTGTGTTGACTTGGACCAAAAAGTTACTCAGAATTCCAATGTACCACAGCCGTAACCGTCAACGTCAACAAATGTACTGAACATTTTGTAGGGCGAGTAGTTGCCTAAGCCACAAAAGTTCATGGACAAATTTGTTCTCAGAGAGAAAGGAACACAGCAAGTTGTAGCGTGCTTAAATCCAACCTGTTGCTGCAAATGCGGGTAGTCCTTTGTTGCAGTGCCCATGGAATTTTCTTCCTGACTCCGTTTCTCCCTTGCGCGTCGATTTTGGAACCATATCTTGATTCGTTGATGTGGTAAATTTAAGCTGCTTGCAAGTTCAGTAACCTGTGAACCAGAAAGATAGTGGTTTTCTGTGTATTTTTGCTCCAAGGTCATCAGCTGTGAAGTGGAGAAGGGTACTCGAGGGCTTCCACTTGAGCGCCGTTTGCAGTTCTTTAGCTTTCTTCTCGACCCTAAACAAAATGAGCTCGTAGTTGTTTTGTTGCGGATTTTGTAAAAACACTGAGTGTTTATTTTAAAACTTATACCAGATAACATATTTCTAGTGGATAAGTGAAATTACACACTTTAAAACGAACATCAACTGATGCAAGCCTTAGAGTATTCTTCACAGCTAATTATCTGATAGATGTTTTTGTTTAACCCGGAAAAAGTGGCGGCTTCACTTGAGTGCGATTTTTTAAATTTACCTTCCTTGTTTTGCCAACTCTCTACAATTCCAAAGATATTTTAAAACCAGACTTAAGGCTAGTTGGGTCGACTTTTCACCGTACATCAAAATATAAGCCACATTCACTGCTTTGTTTTTCAAATGGACTGTGTTAATTAGGTTTAAAGATTGTAGCATTTGAAATAAGGTAGTCATTGCCGAGGGCGAAAGTCAAACGGCAATCGCACAAATCACAAACACATTTAAAAGGTTCATGAAAAACATTGTCAAACCCCAAGCATGACACAGCTGCAGCCCCTCCTTGTCAGCTTTAAATGAACAAAAGAACAACATACTCACTTGGAAGTTTAGGCGGTGAATAACGAGTGTAGGCCAACCAAGGTAGATGGCGAATCTTCGTCAAGTCCATATTGTCCTCTGTAGGTGGCCGCTTAGGCTGCTCTTCGCTTTCTCGTCTCGTACGCGCCTCCTTTTCTGGAGGCGCCTGCGTTGGATGTAGCGCGGTTTTATCTTCGTCTCTTCTTCCCAAAATACTATCAATTGAAAATGCAAGGTAGGGCTTAAGAGGACTAGGGCGCCTTTGATGCTTGATACTCTGGGTCCGGTCACTGCCTTGTTTAGCCATGGCTTGATTTTACGGTATGGTTGTTATTACGAGTGTTTATCATGTGGCATAGTTCTCGGTAAATTGATTTGAGATCAGAGAATTTTACTTAGTTCAAGTGTATTTACACATAATACATATTCTTGTCAGCTTTTATTAGCAACAGATGAGTACACGGATTACATAAGCTGATTCTAATTCGCTCTGATGGCTAGAAAACAAAGCCTCAAAGGCATTGCATGGCTCAGTAGATCTGGTCGCAGTTAGAAGCTGTTATTAATTTCCCTGAACCATTTGTCCCTCGGAGTAGTAACAGTTTTGCGGCATGAAAGAGTGTTGCTTTCGCATCTGTGTTTGATTAGTCGGCCCTCTTTCAGATAAGGCTCAATTTTCCTTTTAAGCTTTGCTTACATTTACTCATATCCATTAAAGCGACTCTCAGGCTCTAAACTTTGCACGTACCTTACGCAGTTTATTAATATGTAGTACTTCAAAAGTGTGAATGTTTAAACCGCTAATCATTTGATACCGGGTTATAAGGTTCTTCTTTAACCACGAAGAATCTTCCCTTTGACGAAGTTTAGATTTCTGGTTGTCGTGCCCGGTACATAAACAGCATGCCAGAAAAGGTTTCTTTTGTTCTGTCAAATGCGGTCCGTGAGAGCAACAACGCGAGCTGTTTGCAAAGAGCTTGATTGATTTTGGACATTTCCATTAAGCTGTCAACACGGGCAACCATTTCACTACAAGATTTTATCTTATCAATAATTAATACCTCTTAATAACGAAAGGGTTTTCGAGAGAAAACCCAATATCAGCCTATACCTGCCCTAGTTACCTTAAAGATGAAGTGGAAATGCGACAGATTAACAATCACGTTGTTGAAGTACAGTTTTTGCTACACGTGCAATATGATCGCTACAGTTCTTGCACAAAGGCCGTGATAATGCTCGCTGTATTGGAGGTGCCTTTAAGTAAACAATTTCACAGAGAATTTAATTTCCATTGAAAGAGTTTGAATAGCAATTGACCCAACAATGGTTATCTCTCAGATACGCGTCAAAGCAATCATTAGCCGACATCTGATAAAAGATGTTCGTTTTACTAAATTAATCATCGGGTGATATCTGTGTGATATGGGACAATCCGTACTCATTATCATAACCTTTGGGGTGCGATACAGATTTGTCAGTGCGGGTGGCCCATTTCTCTTTCAAAAGCAGCTGAAATTTGTACACTATATTAATATTTTCACTACGAAGATGTACAAGTTCAAACCTGTTTAAAGATTTAAACATACAACTCGATGCTTTCGTTTCAATGGTTTCGCCCACAAACGTAGACGTTGTACAATGTAATAAACAGCAGACGATAAGACTGATAAGGATTGTCACAAATTGGGTATCATTTAAAGACTAGGAACATAGTTTAACAGCAAAATCTAGCATACTGACACATGAATTTCCTCGCGTCACTGACTTCAAACGAATGTTTCATCCAGAGCCTTTAAAGGTGGTACCAACGCGTCTACACTATAATTATCAGTACTACATAAAAGAACTGCTCAATAGCTTTCATTTACATGGTCACACACCGAGGTTTCATCCACAAACTTAGAAGTTAGAACTCCCTTGTACAGCATAATAAACAGTACCACATAAAAGAACTGCTCAATAGCTTTCATTTGCATGGTCACAGATCGAGGTTTCATCCACAAACTTAGAAGTTAGAACCTCCTTGTACAGCATAATAGACAGTACCACATGAAAGTCCTGCTCAATAGCTTTCATTTGGATGGTCACACACTAGAGTTTCACCCACAGACCACTTTGTGCAACATAATAAACAGCACGACACGTATGCACTTGTCTCAATAGCTTTCATATTTGCATGGTCACACAATAGAGTTTTATCCAGTGGAGCTTGAATAGAACAAAAAAAAATCATAAGGTAATAACTCAGTAACTTTTATCTGCATAGGTAGGCGCGGTGGCCTGATGGTTAGTGCGCTCGACTCCGGATCAAGTGGTCCGGGTTCGAGTCCAGGCCTGGGCCAGGGACATTGTGCTGCGTTCTTGGGCAAGACACTTGACTCGCACAGTGCCTCTCTTCACCCTGTGACCCAGGTGCATAAATGGGTACCGGCTAATTTAATGCTGGGAATAACCTTACGATAGACTAGCGTCCCATCCAGGCGTGAGTAGAACTACTCCTAGTCGCTTCATGCTACAGAAACTGGGATAAACTTCGGTCTGATGGGCCAGTTGGCTCGTCGTATGCAGTTACAAAGTTGAACACTGACACAGGTTTCATGTCGTGCTATCTCTAACAGCCACAAAGTGCATTGATGTAAGATTTTCTTAAAATTTTAGGAAAAGCAAAATAATAGTTATTTAATTCGAGATGGAATATCAACAAAAGAGTTGACAATAGATCAGAATGGAACGAGAAGGGTTAACATAGAGGAAAATTGGAAATGGATTGCAATCTTTCAACGACGAGGTCAAAAAGTGCCAACCGCGATGAAGCTCTTCAGGATTCAAATTCGACAGTTTTAGAACACATCGGACAATCGGAAAGAAACTTATTTCGAAGTTTGCCTGACATGCTCTAAATATATCGTAATTCAACTCCGGAACTATTGTCACATTAAATTTGAAATTGGTTTTTCAATAATTGTTTCCTTATTTAAAATGCTCTTAGGCTTTGCCATTTGTTTTCAGCTTATAACTTGACCTGCATGTACTTCACAATCAACCATTAACTTGGCACCACAAATCTTTGTTAAAAAAGATGGCATCGCACGTTTTTGTATTACCTTTTTCCCTCACATGGTTGCCACAGACATCGTGTTTAAAAATTCCCGTATTTTTCCCTGATAAAAATAAAATTTCCCTGACCAAATAAATACAAAATGTCAGATCTAGTAGCACCTACTAGCCTCAACTTACAGCTGTTCATTATGACTGATAAGTTTTGAACAAATTTTCTTTCTTTATTAAGAACTATCGTTGAGATCAGTGACCCCAAGTGTTTCTTCCAGCCTTCAATGGTGTTAATCAGCCGTGTTAGGTTATTTCAATCTTCCCTAACTTTTCTTCAAAATGCCAATTTTCCCTGACTAAAAATAAAATTTCCTGACTTTTCCCTGACCTTGAAGAATTTTTTTCCCTGACCATTTCCTGACCCGTGGCAACCTTGCCTCAGTATAAAAGTATCTGACTGAAGCTTACAGTTGATAGTAACTATGCGGAACCAAATAAAGATGACAATCTGTAGATGATGCGATCATGGTCACGTGCCACTGACAATAAATAACCTCAAGTCATAATGTCACAGGTGTTTCTGTGAGGTGAAGGGAAGCTCAGTGTAGATTACGTTGGTACCTTGAAAATCGTAAGTGGCTTATTAGTTATCAGTCGGATATTACGAACAAATAATGATCAGAGGGTTATTGCTAGAAAACAAGACTAGAGATGGAAAAAAATTATAAACAAACAGAACGCCTACGAATGTACAAGGGGAAAGGCAAACAAATCTGTGAGTGTAAGACTGGCTGTCGGGTGCTCTACAAATCAAACTAAAATATTGGGGCAAAGAACCTGTGCTCTTGAAATGTAAGTATAGGGAGTATATGAGTGTGAAGATCTCTTGCACTTATCGTATAAAGCTTCCCCTCACTCTACTGGTAATAAAACCTCCCACCTTTCCAGCTTTTCCAAGATATTTAGGCCCTTCATGAACGTAAAATGATCCAGTTTCTAAGAGAACTATAAATTTCCACCTCTCACGCCTTTTCTGCGAGGACCAGAAAACAATCTGCACTAACCATAAGTAGATTGATCAAATGCAGAGTAAACAAATTACGTTTTAAAATTGGCTTTCTATTATTTGCATTTTCCTTGACAATAATAACACCGTCGATATCAACAACACCAGGACAAAACACCAGTGTCCTCGCAACACTTATTATTGACAATGAGGCAGTGAGGATAATATGTTTTTTTTTTTGTTCAGAAGTACTAGAAGTGCTAAAAGAACACCATATCGACCAAGTTAGCAGCGTGATTAAAACCGTGTAGCCCCAATGATAATGAGTTCAGTTTCAAAATCAAGATTTTGGGGGGCACTGAGGATGTCGCAAAACTCCAGACACCCCTTCCTTAACCACTCCATGTCTCATTGACCAGTAAGCAGGTACTTGATTCCAAGACCAGTCCGCGGCTTCGTGACAGTAGCACCACAAGTCTGCGGCGGTTTTATCTGATCCCGGGATTACTATTATTTCCATTATTGTTATCATCTCTCAAAGATCTCATTCGAGGGCCAAGGTAACAAAGCCCATCGATATCACTCTCCAAGTATATCTCAGGACAATCATCCCTCACACCATTTGCTTTTCGTCTCAATTCATTTTGTGTCGCATCTTGACTCTGCTTGTTAAAATGCGACGTTTGCCTCTCCTGAGAAGTTCTAGAATTTTGTGACGCGGCCAGTCTAGCTGCTGAAATGACTCGCTGAATTAACCGTTGTGCTGCCCTCGCTTCAGCACTGGACTTATTTCTTCTTTTTTCTTCATTATGTGATCTACATGGAAGAGTTATCTGTTGTTTTATTAGATGGAGTTCCTCCATTTGTTTTTCAACCTGTGCCTTTAAGTTTAAACACTGGAAATTAAGTGAAAATGTCTATAAGTATGGTAGCGCGGCGTTTTCTGTTTTTTGGTTCAAACATCCTAATACCTTTCGTTGTGTCCAAGTATTGTTTTTTAAGCTATTTCTAATTATTAAAAACTGGATCATTGGATAATGCAATTCGAGAGTTTTCATTGGCTTAACCATCATGGGTTACGAGCCATTATACCATGAACTACCAATAAAGTAAGCATAAGCGTGATTTTTTGGGATGTTTTCATTTCTATTTTAGTTTAGTTTTCTATATTTTGAGGGCGTTTTTATGAATTTTAATAAAACAATTTTTCCACTCGCGCTTGTTGTATATGAGATCATTCTACTCGACTCGGCGCCTTGTTGGTTATCTACCCCGTCATATCCAACGCGCGTTCGTGGAATAATTGTTAAATAGGCAAGACAAGATGAAGGGTAAGAGAGTTAATCCATCATATAGGCATTGTTCCTAGAGTAATCCCTCTAAAGCTATTTTTAGATCCCTCCCGACTTTAGAAATCCCGGGCAGGGTCTGGAATTGCCAGACCTGTGACGCACATTTTACTCATCTGGACAAGGCAAGCGGCTTTACGCGCATTTTCATCTGCCAAGAAAACATCCATGCAACAAGCGTGGCACCATTATCTGGTGAAAATTGGAAACCAATAATTATCTAAAAATCAGAGGGATTACAGGTAATCCCTTCAGAGGGATTACCTTGGGAATAACGCCTATATGGGGGATTGGCTCTCTTACCCTTCGTCCTCTCTTGATTGCGAGTTAATAGACTAAGAAAGCGAATGACCGGGATGGCGCAGTGGTGAGAGCGCTTGCATCCCACCAATGTGACCCAGGTTCGATTCCGACCCGGTGCCACATGTGCGTTTAGTTTGTTGTTGGTTCTCGCCTTGCTCCGAGGATTTTCTCCCGGTTCTCGGGTTTTCCTCCCTCCACAAAAACCAACATCTCCAAATTCCAATTCAACCAGGATAGAGGACCCGCATGAAAACCAGCTAAGGTTGATGTGGCTGCCTCTCTAAACATTCTCTAAGTATTGTTATTTAAAGTGATAGTTAATTGCTAAATCACGCTTGCTCTAATAGATCTTGTAACAGGGGTCTATTGCCGATTACCGATATGAGCATTTTTAAGGTAATGACTTACCTCTCCTTCGAGAGTCTTTATATGATCGCATTTGCAACACTGAAAAACGACCAGAAAAAAAACAACTAATACTCGTTACAAATAGGAACAGTCATCCTTTATGAAATGAGCTGTTNGGGGGGGGGGGGGGGGGGGGGTGGGAGTTTGATTTAATACTTTCAAAAGAGAGATCTATCCAAGGCTGTTCAAATTTGGTAAGAAAAAAACAACATATATCGAACATATAATGGCATATTGTACCACATGGCACTCTTGGGAGTGAGAGGGTTAAGAAATAAATCATTTATGAAAAGGAGCCAAGAGAACGTGCGAACCATTGTACTAACCTCCCTTTTGCTGTCTTTCATTTCTTCTAGCAGTTGTTTCATTGTATTTATTTCTCTTGCTGTGAATGTAAAAAAGACGGTACGGAAAAATAAAGACACAGAACGACGAAACTGAACTCGAAATGAAACACTTCAGTCCAAACTAGCAGCCTGGCTTTAGAGTACAAGAAGGAATAAGATACATTCTCAAAATCACTATTATTTTATCATGACTATGACGGTGTTTGGATATCAGATCTTAATTACCATAGATTTTCCCGATTTTATTCCCCCTTTTATTTTCTCTTACGTTTGGTGTTTGGAAAATGTGGTCACACGGTCTTTCGTGTTTGACATATAGCATGAAAATCGTTTACTTTTAAAACAAATTAAGTCTACACTTTGGATCGATGGTTTAAACTTAAGCTCACCAATATCAAATCTAAATTTCCTCTGAATATTCCTTAATCCACACTTTATCTGTACTAGGGTTTAGGTTTATGAGATCAGTAAAGCCGACTTGGGATACTCACCAAAATTAAATTCAAAGTTATGAAATTTTTCTGTCTCTGTACGATCTGGTCGAGGTATTGAAAGATTGCTTTCCAGCCTTGTTCTCTGTAATCTAAAAAAGAACAAATTTTTGTTGGCGATAAATGACGAGGAGTACACACACTCTTAGAAATTAGAATTTTCACGGGCTAATCATTCATGCTGTTGATGACCAACAGCCAAAAGGTACTGATTTACTCAGCCTTGTAAGGATAACAGAATCAAACCAAACACTCTCTATCTTAAACGATTGCTAATGTTAACCGATCCAAAGCCCTTCGAACTTATCGTGAAGCAATGTTTCAGTTGAATGATGCCAAAATTAAAACTTCATCTAGGCAAGTTTGACTGGGGCAAATCGACAACCCGACCTATGTGTCCATTTCTTTCTCCTGTTCGAACAAAGAAAGGCAAGGCGTAAAGAAAGGCTATCTAAAAGACTCCATAACTATAGTTATATGGGTTTTATGCCAGGGCGCTGCAAGACCGCATACGCTTCAGCATGTTTATTCCATGCCGTTAATCACTGAGAATTTTCGTAGTAAGGGTAGCGCGTTTGTACTTCAAAGTATATATATCACACAACAAATTTAACACACTATTTACCTGTCCCGCCCCTGACTTTCCAGCACCTTTTTAGCGTCAGGATATTCTTCTAAAGCCTGTCAAAAAATAATCCCTTTACGTTTGCGCTAACATTAATTTTCTCTGATCGGCTATAACCATGACCGAGGATACCGATAGGTTGTTGTGCTGAATGTTAACATTAAGCCAGGATTATTTATTTATCTATTTCTTACGAACCCACTTAAGTAAAGTAGCGGGTAACTGAGTAAGGTGTAAGTTACTTTGTTCCTTTGTAATTGCCTTACATGTATCTAAACGTGATCTAAGCAGTATACCATAGTAAAGTATACTTTTCCTTTGTTGTGCAAAGTGCGTTTCCAACAATCATTGTACTTTGTAACGTAAGTGTCAACTAGACGCTCTAAGAGCGTTTACTCGGGCTTCGTGCAGCAGTATCAAATCGTACTTTACGAAAACGCGTATTAGACACAATAAAAACAAATTAAAGAATCAGGATATTTTAGCACAAGAGTTTCGCTTGGATATTTACTATTCAAGTTGTTTCGTTGAGTATCCTTCTAATCCAATCGCAAGTTGT